CTCATGTCTTAGCGATTTCTAAAAGAATATTTCATCTGACCTTTCACATTAAGAAGTTGGGTTACTCAGGCGTAACTCAACCCCTCTTCTTACGGTTTGTCAACTCGCGCATCTTACCTATTCTTCTTTACTGTCTACCCTTATTTTTTCCTGGATTGCTTAAAAAAGACTATGTCATACTTGGCAGGACTTTGAAGACTGACACTCAGTAGGGTGAGTGGTATGCCATTGGGTCATATTGTTGATATCTTCATTGATAGGCAATTGGTCTCATGCAACAAATTTACTAAAGGAGTTTTTTCTGACTGTTAGCATCCACTTTACCAGCAGCTTTCACCTTGCGTCTCCTCAGGTAAAACAAGAAGTTATTTTAAAAGACTTTATGCACATTCATCTAAGTATAAAAATTCCACTACGCAATATTTAGCACGTACTTTATGTGATGAAAATAGTGTTAGGCATGAAATAACTAACCTTCTTTGCACTAGTAAATAAACCATTTTCTCCATCCTTACTCCACCAAGATTTATTGTTATCTTTCTTCTTATATTTATAATCTTCTCAATTTTTGTGTGTTTATTTTCTCATAAGCCTAAGCAACATTTAAGCTGTGTAATAACTATTATATTTTGTCTTTCTCCTCATCATGTCATATCAACAGAATACTAGATTCAATAATCTATAACATGCTAAAATTTCCAAACTGAATCGACAATACTGTTTCAAACAAGCACTCTGTTATTATTATTATATTTATTATTCTCGTCTTTTACTTCAAATATTTTTAACTTAATACCATAAATGTGGACCAATTCCTTGGGTTAATTTTATTTATGTTTCGAGTAATTCCGGTGCAATACTGTGACAAATGCTGAGAATTCCATTCAGTACTGTTTTTGCATTAAAGTAGATTATTATTATTTCAAGAGGAAGGCAGGAGTCGACCCACCCTAGGCCGTATCAAGATATATGTTACGCATTCCAAACTGTAATTTGCATCTAATTGGTGGATTGTGACTAGCAGTGGAATCCAGCTTGATGCGCATTTCGTCCTATTTGGGACTCGTCATTGGATGTACCTGCATTACTCGGTAAGTGATGATGTTCCCACCGAGGCTCGAACCCAGTGCCCATAGTTTCAAACGCCAAAGCGTTATCCACTAGACCACTTGGGCCACGAGAGCCACCTCTTGTGCAACGGGTCATATTAATTATTTGATTGAATTTTAGATTTTACCGTTGAGTGATTGGACCGAAGTGCTCGTCGAAGCATCTGCACGAGAAGCCGACATGTCAACCTGAGACCGAGCACTTCGGTCCAATCAATCGACGGTAAAATCTAAAATTCAATTAAATGTAATGTACATCGTTTGAATTCATTAAAAATTCATTCACAATAGTTTCAAGTTTGCAATTCAGTGACACTACGTGTGAAAGTCGCTTATGGACCAATTAAATTTGCTAACAGTTTCTTATGAAAATTTTAGATTTACTTCCCTATTTATTTTCACTCACTAACTCTGATCACTATTCCATAATTTGTCGTTTTACACCCCAACGAATGCAGCAGGTTATCCTTGATATTAGATTACTGTGTGGTGAGAGCCGTCTGCTAGCCAACATAGGGTTAGCTGATATAGGGTCAGGCTGCAAAAGAGCGAGCGGCGATCAAACGAAAACATGGCACCAGTCAATGAAATCTACAACAGTTAGTCTAAGCCACGTAGGAAGATGTAGACTTCCTCACTGGTTGGGGTCCTCGGGACGGTAAAAACCAATGGTTGGAAACAATTGGTCACATGGTTCAAAATCGTTCTCAATGGTGCAGATGCATCCCCTCCTTGTGACTTATGATCTCCAATTAAACTGTTTTGTTCTCCGTTATTAATATTCTTTTGTCTCACACCTTTGTTTACTGTCTTTAATATGCATTTCTCCTACTTTCTTCTCTTGCTTTGTGTGCTACGTGGAGTGTGGCGACTTGAACTGCCGCACATATGTGCAAAGTTCTATGTCGAAAACCGACTGACCGACCGCTAGGCAACATTGTAGGCAACTGTTTACATCAACGTTAACGTCCCGAACCGGAATCATGAGAAAAAACAGCAACAAAGCTAAAACTTGAGGAATTCTCCAACCAATCACAACAGACTTAACGTATCCAAATACAATTCGCAGATATATGGCTTAACTTTTTAGGAAACGGTCACAAGCAGTACAGAATAACCTTGAGGAAGAAAACAACCAATCACAAGACGTTGCTTATCCGCTGACAATAATGTACACAAAAATCTATAAATATTTGTTGATTTTCTCAATAAACGATCTGTTGCTTGGCCCTTGTCTTCTGTCGTTAGAGCTGCACACAATTTCAAAAATGAAATCACCCCCACAGTGTTTGTTTCAAAAGCCACCTAAAATTGTACTGAAAAGCTAGTGTAGTAACTTTTTTTCGATATTATTAAAGGAAAACTTAGGCTATTCCAAAATGCCCTTAGAAGTGGGATTCTACGCAGAGAAAATATTGATTTGTGTTTCCATGTGATTCATCTATCATCAAGCATCTTTGCGCCAGTACATTCCAATTATTAAATCTATTGCATATTCATGAGATATATTCAAATATGTCTTTTTTGTGTAACAGTCCAATCTAATATTAGGAAGTTTACATGTGCTGTTCTTGAGTTTTTCTTTCAGAAGACGATAATGTTTAGTTCCATCAGTGTGTGACTTGCATGACTGTAGTACAGGTGAATAAAATGGTCAGAAGAATAACTGAATGCTTCTACTTATGAAATAACGCATGTGTATATATTACTGATGAAATCAAGCAAACTACAATTAGTAATATATTAACTGTCGAATGTTAAGAAGGGTAGCATTATAAAATGTTAATTGACAAGTGAAAAATTGCGGATATTTTAAAGCAGCCATTCTTTAGAAACTTAAACAAATCGAATCAGTAGAGAACTATAGAAAATAGAGAACTAGTTAAGATTTTCAAAACTAATGGCAAGTCAATCAGTCATTGCTTGGCAGGTGTGTCACGAACACCATTTCCAGCAGCCTTTCTGAAAGTTTCACCAACAGCTGACTTCGCTCCATGCAGAATGACTGGCAACAAGGAGCTCTGTTGACGAGCTGACCGACAATCGATGGCCTAGAAATATGAAGACGAAAAGGGAGATGGACTGGGCACACACTGAGAAGACCATTAAGTGTAATCCAAGAGTGTAAACCAAATGTGGAACGAGGAGCTGCATGTTTGCCAGACAGTAAATAGAAGGAAGTCGTGTGTTGAGGAGAAGAAAGCTTATGGCCAACAAAAAGGACTTCAGAAAACAGGACCTTTATTTCACTCGAAACCCAAGGGAATAACTATAACAGTACAAGTATCAGCTAGCTGGTGCGCTAAGTATGAGGTGTAATTAAATCACTTATTATTATTACTATTGTTTCTTTTAATTCCTAGAGGAAGATGAGGCTTCAGCTTCACGCCTCCAGTGCGTTCGGTTCTTTGCCAAGGTCTCCATTTGGCTTCAAGTCTGCCCACATGCTTTCATCTCCCCTTAACATGACCTCCTCTATGTCACTTCTTGTTCGCACTGATTACCAACTCGCTGCTTCCCATTCGGGTTCCACTTGAGCGATGGCTTGGAGCGTGATGTCAGCTGATGGTTTGTTTTCTCACAGTATGGCCAATCCCCCCATTTCTTCCTGCAGATTTGTTGCACAATTGGTTCCTGGTTGGTTCGCTGTCAGAGGTACCTGTTACTGATCTTTTCTGGCCGGCCATCTGATCTTGAGTGGTATTGAGAGAAGACAGTTGTTGATGAAGGTCTGTAGTTAGTTCAAAGTGCCCTTCGTGACGCGCCAAGTCTCTGATTCGTATAGTAGCACTAACTTCATATTGGAATTGAAAATTCAGATCTTTTTTTTCATTTTCATGCTGAGTACTATTAATCTCCACACAGACTTGAGAGTAATGAAAGCTTGCCTTGCTTTCCCGATCCTCGGCTTTAAATCCTCATCAGTTCTGTCCGCCTGTAGTTGAAACGATGCTTTTCAGGTAGGTTGTTTCTTTCAGATTTCTCCCATTTATGCTGGCTGACTATTGTCTGTTGTTGTTGCTGTCGCTGTTGGCCAGGAATCTTCATCACCTCTGTTTTCTCTATGTCCACCTGAAGTCCTTCCTATCTTTGATGCATCTTCTGTCAATTGGTTGCTTTTCATTTGCATTTCTTGCTGTTTGTGGGAAATCAGCCTTTTATCGTTGGAGAAGTCCAGATCCTCCAAGTTTTTGTGTCTGTCCATTTTATGCCTGTTTCGTCTCTGCCCCCAGTCTGTCGCATTATCCAGTCTACCGCAGTCAGAAAAATCATTTGAGATAGTAAGCAGCCAGCTTTTCTTATTCCTGTCCTCACTTCGAAGGATCCTGTGAGTTTCCCGTTGTGGATTACTTGGCATGCAGCATTGTCGTACAACTGTTGGATGAGATGTATAATTGTTGGCAGCACCCCTCAGTAGCGAAGTAGTTGCCACATCACCTCTTGATCGACGCTGCGCTATCGGAGGCCTTTCCAAAGTTGATGAAGTTGAGATAGAGAGGTGACTGCCATTCCAAGCTTTGATCAATGATGATCCGTAATGTGGCGATCTGATCAATGCATAACTTGTTCCTCCTGAATCCAGCCTGTTTCGGTCGAAGTTTTTCATCCAGAGTGGCATGTTTGATTCTCTCCTGAATGATGCGGCTTCGTAACTTACTTGGGATGAACAGGAGCATAATGCCGCGCCAGTTCTTGCATTGACTTAAGTCCCCTTCCTCTAGCGGTTAAATAAAACTTGAAGATAATCCTCAAAATAATGCAAATGTAAGTGAGCTGACATACAGCCAGACAGTCAGCGCCATTTAGTCATAAATCACCCCTTCAACGAAAAACAGCAACTACATTAAATAATGAAATAACCTAAGACATTAAAAATTTCAACAACTCAAACACATAAACACTACTCTATTTCTTCTCAAAATATATTTTTTGATATATTTATTTTAAAAGTACAACAAAATAATATATAATGTTGTTTGTTTGTTTTTTCTGATTAACAACATTTCTAGATGGTCAGTGGCATATTGTTTTCTTTGTCTTTTGCTTATTTTTAATTGTTTGTTTTTTTCTTGATCGCATTCATCGCCCAGTTCAGTGATATTCCTCATCAGCCCATGAGTTCACCCCATTGGTGTAAGCACGTTTCCCACTGTATACGGATGACAGATGGTAAATAAATAAATAAATTAGGAAACATAATAATATTTTACAACAACTATTGTGAGGTGAAAGGAATAATATTATGAGAAATACAACAGTCATCTACACATTACAACTTTATTTCTGTTTAAACAAAGTCTTCATACTTTAATAACATTAAAGGTCAAGTATCACTTTTGTTGTCTTGGTATTCAGAGGTGTGAGAGAAATTCATAAATTTCCCATGATCAGTAAATTTGTTGTGTTTTCTTTTATTCCTCAACACGTTTCGAGTGGAACAGACGCCTTGAAGCTTGAGCATTATATCTTCATTAGCAGTAGTGTTGCTATTGAAAGGAAGGTTCGCTGGCCCCAAACTCATCCGTCCCTATCTAACGGGCTTACTACCAGCTAATAGGGGTTTAGGGGTGCATCTGTCGCCTGGCAGTCGAACTTAGAGCACATATGCGGTTGACAAATATTCTACCTTTGAATCACCAACGAGGATGATCGCTAAATCACCTTACATTAAGAAGTCATTTGAGTGCATAGTGCGCCGGTGGCACAGCAGTTAGGACACTCGCCGACCATGTTCATGGTCCGCGGTTCAAATCCCTGCTGACACACACCTCATATCAATGATCGGCCTGCGAATAATGGGCTACCTATATCATATGCTGAAAATTCCGTATTTGTACCTGTAATACGGTGAGGAATCCAGCTATAATCAAAAAATATGCAACGTCTCGCGTATATTCCAAGTAATAAATAATAACCGATTGTGAGTAATACAAGTTATTCAAAGACAGACTATCTGAGATCATTACAAAGATCGTATAACACAGCGGTAATATAATATAAAGTAAAGGAAGTTTATTGTATTGACTATATACTCCCTTATGGTCAGCCAGTGTTTCTAATACAGTCTAGCCTGAATAGATCAGTGGTAACTTTTTTGAATGCAACATAGGGTGACCCGAGTTCGAAACTTAGAGTGAATAGAAGTTCCTTCAAGATTCCAGATAAGTTCTGCTGACCGGTGGCAGCCAACAAGCATGAAACCTAAGTCGAAGGCTTCCTGTCGATTTCTTCCAATAATATAACGGAAACTGTTCAGCAACAGATTATTATTTCTCTTCGTTTGTAACCGTTCAATACTGTTTATCTCAATTATTTTGCCTAGTAAGTGTAGAATTTGGGTATTGTTACTATTAATATTATTGTTCCCTTGAGTTCCTAGTGGAACATAGGGCTTCAACTGCACGCCTACACTTGCTTCTGTCTTGTGCTGTACTTTTCACTTGCATCCATGTTAGTCCATACTGTTTCAACTCCTCTTCACACGATCTCCTCCATGTCACCCTTGCACCGACGAACCACTCGCCGCTTCCCTTTCGGGTTTCACTCGAGCTATGGCCTGACGCGCGATGTCACCCAGCGGCCTCCTCAGCGAGTGTCCAATCCATCTCCACTTTCTCCTGCATATTTCTTGAGCGATTGGTTCTTGTTTTTTTTGTTCCCATAGCTTCTTGTTAGTGATTCTTTCCGGCTATCTGATTTTCAGTATAGAACGAAGACAGCTGTTGATAAAGGTGTGCAACAGGCTGTAGGAAATATTCTTTGTGACCCGCCAAGTTTCTGATCCGTATAGAAGAACTGACTTGAAGTTTGTATTGAAAATCCGAATTTTGTTGTTGTTGATGCTGAGTGACGAAGATTTCCAGATTGGTTTCAGTTTGATGAATGTGTTTCTCGCCTTCCCGATTCTCGATTTGACATCCTTGTTTCTTCCTCCTGTAGTTGAGACAATGCTCCCTAGATAAGTGAAAGAAGTAACCTCTTTCAAATCCCTCCCGTTGATGGTGATTGGCGCTGGATGTTGCTGCTGTTGTTGTTGTTGTTGGTTGGTTATTTTCATAACCTCCGTCTTGTCTATGTTCACCTGAAGTCCTGTCTTCATCGGCTGTTTCTTCAACCAGTTTGTGGGTTTTCGCTTGTAAGTCTTCGATTTTGTGTGACATCAAACATAAATCATCCACGCGCGAAATCCAGGTCTTCTAGATTCTTCACGTCGGTCCAGGATATCCCTGTCTTCTCGTTTCCCACTGTCTGATGAAGCATAATCCAGTCAACCACAATTATGAATATCATTGGTGATAATAAGCACCCTTGTCTGACTCCTGTGTTTACTCCAAACGCCTAGCTGAGTTTTCCATTGTGGATCACTTGACATGTGCCGTTGTCGTACAGCTGTTGAATAAGGTTGATGAATATTTCGGGTACACCGTAGTACTCGAGTAGTTTCCGAATTACTTCGCGGTCAACGCTATCGAAGGCCTTCTCAAAGTCTATAAAGTTGAGGTAGAGATTTGATTGCCATTCCATGCTTTGTTCGATGATGATGCGTAGAGTTGCAATTTGGTCAGAACATGATTTGCCTTTCCTGAATCCAGCTTGTTCTGGTCGGAGTTCTGTATCCGATGCATCTTTTATTCTCTCCAGTATGATGCGACTCAGGATTTTACTTGGGGTCGACAGGAGCACGATTCCTCACCAGTTCTTGCAGAGTCCTAAGTCGCCCTTCTTTGGTAGTTTCACAAGGTAACCTTTGCTGCAGTCAGTAGGCACCTTTTTCTCCTTCCAGACTTTTTGCAATAATGGAGTCAGAATATCTGCTGTCGTCATTCGGGTACTGTGGTAGAATGTAATAAGTTTATTTTAATAATCCCACAGTGATGATGCAGTACTGATAACTGGATCATAAGGTTTCCAGCATAAATTATTGCTCATAATCACATCAGTATATTCACCATTTGTCTTAAATATATATTCTCTCTATTCCATTTCTCCAACTTCCCTTTATTGTTTGTCAGCAATTCCCATATCTCCGGTATACGTGTTGCATCATTTCAATTGCACGTGTGCGGTGCTAAGTCGACAAACAAAGAATCAGTGATTAGCCTCTCCCTCTCCACCAAACTATATTACCCTTTTAAAACTTTAGCCCTGTCCCACCCACCCCACTGCATGATAACATGCAAGTGAATGTAACGCAATGTAATGGCTGAGCTGTGATTTAACTTGATCAATCATCCTAATTCTAGCTAAATTTTTATGTTTCAATAATCTAGTTGACCCCTATCTACTAGTTTGACCTATGTGACTGACCTCACTCGCAGTCATTACATGGTATTTGGTAAATTATATTATTATTCTTAATTGGATCCAATGGGTCCTTAAGCTGAAAAAGTTTTTCTCTGAGAGAATTGGTTGGTTGGTTGGTTTAAATGATACCCTTATTCCAGCGTCACTGGGAATTCTACGTAAGGCCTTTGCCATGGAAATCACTGTACATCTGTTACAGTACTCAACTAATGATGACGATAAAAAATTAAAAGTTCATTGGCTGGATATAAATTTTTATTTTGTAAAATATAAACATAAAGAAATATCCAATTTCACTTACAGTTCCTCAAGCCATTTTGCACTATCCTTCAACTTTTGAAGACGAAGTAGTTCTTCAAACCTCATTCCACTCATACGCTTAGATGGTCCCGGTAAAATTTCATACCTGCTGAAAATTAATTAAAATTTTATGATAAATCTGAAGAAAAGAATATTAGAATAAGGCTTATTAAAAAAATTGTTTCTCATATTTTGGTGAGTGGGAACTAGTAATGGAATCCAAGGTGCACATTTTTTTTCTGATTGGGACCCGTCAGTTGAGTGCAGTTGCACACCCCAGTGATTGATATTGTTCCCATAGGAACTTCAACTCAGTGTGCATCGTTTCAAACGCCGGCCGTCAAATGACATCGCGCGCAATGTATGCCATAGTTCGAGTGGAATCCAAATGGGGAGTGAGAAGTGGGTTACCAATGCAAGGGTAACATGGGGTAGATCGTGAGAGGAGAGGGAGATGAGAGGTTATGGGCAGTCTTGGAGTGGACCGGCTGAAGAGGAGGGCACCAAAAAGCAAAACTTGGAGATATGTTGTTGAAGCCCTATGTTCCACTCGGAACACAAAGGAATAATAGTAGTATCAATATTTGAGGGAAAATAATTCTTATTATATTTATCCAAAGAACTGATCCAGGCAGACGGCCTGCTTACATTTCCGTCTTGTATAATGCACAAACTGTTCTCCATTTCTTATTGTTTTAATCGCCTAATTATATTTTTTAGAGCGCCACATGATCTCAAGCGCGTTTTTCAAAAGTTTACTTTCAATGTATTGCAGAGCACTTTCCAAAGGAAATGTGGAGGAAAATATAGTAGAGGATTTGATTTTTGCTTTAGATGGGACAACACAGCGTCACATGATTTACTGTCGAATAGTACCTTACCTGAAGATCCTGTAGATTAGATTAGATATTGTTTGCAATTGCAATATGTTGCAAATTCTGTACTATGTATTAGCATATTGTCTACAATAATGCTGTAATTATTATCATCCTTTTTGACGAAACGGCTGAGTGAATAATTCAGTCTATAATTCTAGAATGCTTAATTCTTAGGCTGAAATCAAGATGTAATGATATTTTCAATAACAATAAGGCCTTTATTTCAGACAATATTTCAACACATAGGACAGAAACTTTCAGCCTTCCGAAATATTTCCTCTTTGTACAGGATTTACACGTAAAGTAGTAATCTGAAGTATGCCTTGTGACATAGTGCCGTTGTATATGAAGTTAGAACCAATTCTGTATATCTGTTTTCTTCATTTCCTTCATGAGTTGTACAGTGTTTCGTTGAAAGTTACTTGAATATGTGCGCGAGTTCATATAGTGATCATCTGATACAACTGCGTGATTAAATCAAAAACAGATGCTGAAGAATTTAGGGAGCAGCATTTCGGTGGATGGAAACTCTGGTAGCCTAGTGAGATTTAAGCAGTCCACCATGTATGCAACTTCAAGCCTATGAACTAAGCTCCCATTTATAATTCTTTCCTCACAAACTGCAAACTATCTAATTCAGCAGTTTAAATATCCCCATAGTATAATCACAACAAGAAAATATCCAGAGTGCTTAATTGTAGTTTCAATAACTCCTTCTTCAGACTCTGCAGTTATGCATCCATGAATATTAGAATGCAAATAGCCAGTAAGTGCGAATGAAAATTACGTCAGAAAGTGTAATGCGGTGGCATTATTATTATTAGTATAAGATGAATGACAGTCCGTTAGTTTACACTGTCAGTTGAATGTATATGAAATGTATAGTCATTAAGAACATAAGACAAAATGTGAAGAGGATTGATCACGAGTTGACATCATTTAGAGAACCACTGGAAAACCAGCAGAGGGTATTAAACAGCTGTTTCTCCCTAGGTTGGGACTCTTCGGCAATACGTACTCACCGCTAGCTTTCGAACCTGGGACCTTCTGGTTAAATGGCGAGCTCGTAGACCTATGGCTCGTGAATCCCGGCTTCTATCGATTCCCTATGTATATAGCACAGTCACCAGCCAACTACACAGACGAGGAACTATCCTCTTATATGATTTGTGGGATCCCGCTGATTATGACTCTTTAGTAGAACTCCCAGTAACTTCATGTACAGAGCCGGTCACTATTGAGCGTCAGATTAATTATTAAGTGGTTCTTTAACTGACGTCAACTTATGATTAAACCTGTTACCAGTCGAACCAACACTTGATTAAAATAATGTGAATGGACAAATGAGTGACACAGTAATGAATTCACAATCAGTAAACTGTAACTTTAAGGATGGATAGTGAGTGAGTTATATTCAGTAGTTTATTTTTTGTGGTATTCATATTTCTTTCACACGATTGAATATAATTTTCAAGTATTGGTTTTGTAGGGATTTTGTTTGATTGCATGGAGGATTTCATCATGAGCTGACATCAGTTAGAGAACCATTGGAAAACCTGGGAGTACTGGACAGCTGTTTCGTCCTAGTTTCGGACTCTTCATCAGTATGCGCACGCTCACTAGTGACTGTCACTATTCAGGCACTTAACCTAAGGTTCTAGTGGGAAGCTGTGACCAGTAGGGTACAGCAGGCTGAAGATGAGGCAGTAACTCATCGAAGAAGACATTGCGAAATGGTCGCGCTATGTCGTGAATTGGCAGAAGTTAGAATTCAAGGACCGCTGGATCGAGTTCCAGTGGCTCAGTGGTCTACGAGCTCGCCATGTAACCAGAAGGTCCTGGGTTCGAGCCCTGGTGGGTGCGTACTGATGAAGAGTCCCAAACTGGGAAGAAACAGCTGTCCAGTACTCCCAGGTTTTCCAGTGGTTCTCTAACTGATGTCAGCTCATGATGAAATCCTCCATGCGATTGTATATATCTCATACAGCCTTTGTGAAGCTTATATTCTGTTGAGTACATTACATACATTAATAGTCGACTCACATTTTTTATTCTGTTCTGAATCACTGTACATTTTATATGTATTCGACTAGCAATGTTAACCGACGGATTATTATTCCATCTTACGCTTGCACTCCGATATGGTTTTCGTTTAGGTTTAATTTATTCTGATAATTTCAAGTATTGGTTTTGTAGGGATTTATTGTTTGTTTGATTGGAAGATCCATCATGAGCTGACATCAGTAAGAGAACCATTGGAAAACCTGCAAGGAGTACTGGACAGCCAGCTGTTTCGTCAGCCTAGTTTAAGACTCTTCAGCAGTACATATCCACCATAGGAGGTTCGAACACAGGACCTTCCGATTACAAGGCTAGCGATCTCGTAGGCCACTAAGCCACTGGGACCAGCCAGTCCAATGGCCAATCCATGAATTTCAACTTCTGCCAGTTCATGACATAGCGCGACCACTTCACAATGTCTTCTTCGATGAGTTACTGCCTAACCTTCAATCTGCTGCACCCTAATGGTCACGGCTTTCCACTAGAACCCAAGGTTAACTGCCGGAATAGTGCCAGCTGCCAATGAGCATGAGATTAATTTCCAAGTATTCTAATATCCTTCGATTTATAAAAGTAGACCCTGAAGAAGAAGCTATTGACACCACAAATGTTCGCTCAGAACATCTTCTAGTCTCAAATATCTATTTCACGAGACAAGTGGAAATAAATGTGATTATACCATGAGACCGGAGAGTTTATTCACTCTGCAGAACAATATATTGTGTGGAAACATTGCATGACTAAATATTAATAGCTAACTGAACCTTTGTAGACTTATAAGTGTGTCTTACGTCAGTGGTCCCAACGAAAACATGCAGTAATAAAACATCATCAATAAATTATAGTTCCATTACGTCAATGCCTTTATCAAATGCTTTTCTGAATTGACATCACTTATGTTTGAAGTCGATCAAATCAAATCATATTAACAATTCACCGAATTAAGATCCCGACTGAAGAAGACATTTTCTCAATTCTAAATCCTAATATGTCAGTGTTAATTAGAATATAACATTCGATTACACCAGGGACAAGAAGAATTACAAAGTACTTAATCATTACTTCAAAGGAGAATGAGATTAATTCACCTCTTTCCAATGAAAAAAAGATGCAAATCATTCTATTCCACGAAATCTGATTATCTCACTCTTGTGGAACAAGAAAAAAAAGGCATCATTCTTCTCTGTAATCAACCCTTTTAAAGATCAAAAGACGATCGCTTTTTTCTGCTCATCTCAGATATAGCAACACATAAGTAAATGTACATTAAAAAAGGTAATTTTTTAAATAAGCATTATTAACATATAGTCTGTATTTCTAGAATAATCAAAACGTTGTGAAGAGAGTCATAGTTCCCATCCACAACTAAACAATTCCGACGTTTTTTGCACACTGAGTGTTAGATTACAAGCGCTCGCTCAGCTAGGAATTCAAAATTAAGTTGTGAGTATTGTTCAAGATTCTGTTATTTGTTGAGAGCTATTGAAATTTAATTGTCAATTTTGACAAAGGTGAGTTTATTCCAGTGCGACGCGAAACCTGATGATTATGATGATAACTATGATAATAATGACGTTGGAGATTCCAACCTACGTCAATGAGTGTTCCAATCAAGGATGTTGTCATTCAGCTGTTTGGTCCCACGAATCTTTGAATGATTACCGGAGTATAACTGACGTCGTGTGTGACCTTTAGTCTCTGTACTGACTGAATTCTTAAAAAGACGGTTGCAGAGAAGAAAATTTTCTTTTCAACGAAGTCATCTACTAGGCTGTATATTCGTGTATTTACAATAAATGGGTGAGCAAGTTCGAGAATAATTTCCGGTCAAGGGTCAAATTAATAAAATTACAATTAGGAATTAAAATGTCATAATAAACAGGGGGATGGATAAAACTCAAACAAAGTAGATAAGATTTTATTTTGATAAGTCATACAGTGTATTTCTTTTGGTTACATAGTGTGGGTTTAACCTTTTGGATACGTCCAACCCTTGTCCCTGCCATGGCCATCATAAACAGGCAATTCTTTGAATAGTGACTATCACATTGACTTTCTTTTCCAAACTTCCTGTTTATTCATGTTATTTTTAAGTTTTTCTTAATCCCTATTTAAACTACCATATTTTCATATCCGAACTTCCTGTCTATGTTGTCATTTTATTATTCCT